ACTTTAACCCTCATTCTAACATATTTAACATACTAGCTACTGACTGGGATAAGAATAGAATGAGAGAAAGAAAGAAATAACCATCATAGCAAAATGTTCACAATTTTTTCTCAAAACATTATTAGCTATCTAGTTTGTGTCATCTGGAAAAAAAGATTATTATTATTTTAGGGTCGTTACAGTCATTTGTAAATTGTGTAAAACTGAAATAGACAGAACACAGGAGGAAATCTAAAAGAAATTACCTTACCCGAACCCTAAAAAATAAAAAAAATGAAATGAAGCAACATGCAGCAAACCACGGAGACATGACATATCTGTAAATTAGAGAACTTTTCTCCTTCTTTGCTTTGGTTGCTGTGGTTGATAAAGCTCTTCCAGGAACGCCCATATCAATACAGATGTTTTGACAACTGTGAGCCATGTAATTGTGCTGTTCGGTCTGCAAGTTTTCATAATCGTGTCCAGGCTTGAAGAGCATGGTGGGGCAATCTCTTGTCCTCAAGCGTACACACTTTAGAACAGGGCAGACAAAGAGAAACAAATAAGAACAGAAGTCATAAGACAGCCATAAATGTATGAAAGGTTGGCTGTGTGTTTAACTAGTAAAGAGTCATAATGAGTTATTTATAACTCCATTTTATATTTAATCTATGTATTTTGCTGTATTAATGCATTGGAAATAGATAAAAGCCTAGTATAATTCCAGAAATCTTATAAATCAGCCAATAAATGTCTTTCTTTCTTTCATTCTTTATTTCTTTCTTTCTTTCTTTCTATCTATCTATCTATCTTTCTTTCTTAAGCAAACATGCAGAGACACAGCTGACAATTCCCAGTCACATCAATGCCCATAAGCAAAGATTTTTGCATACTATGACTCTTTAAACATCTTTCAAAGCATGCAAATAGGGGCCTAATTTGTTTTGTGACAAGTATAAACAGCTAACCTCAGACAGCTCCCTGTTGTATTAGAACAAACAGCTCAGCTCAGCTAACATGTACTCCTAATGTGTTACCAAGAAATTAGTGGCAATTAGTGACAGGAGGAGTGTTTATGAGCGAGGGAGAGTGTTGTTGCTGTGAAATCACGAAAGTATAGGGGGTCCCACTAATGGTCCAAAAAAACTCTGAGCTCATAGTAATCACGTCACCAAGAAGAAATCTAGACAAACAGACAGACAGACAGACCAGTAATGCCCACAGACAGACAGACGCTGTAAAAAAATAACAGATGAATGATGTATGCTTTATGACTACGCAAGCTCTCTGAACATCTGCATGCAGCAGACGCCAGTCAATTGGTATGCATCATGACTTTTGGAAGCGCTTTTTCAGTGACTAAAGGTTGGGGGGGGCACCAGCTGGGAGATATCAGTATAGATCATCTTATTTCGCCACATGATATACTGGAATCATATCATAATATAATATACATGTGATGTGAGTAAACCAAAGACAGACAGTAACATAAAAGAGTGACAATCTGTTGACAAGCACCTGCGCATGAATACTGAACACATGGCCAGCACTCTAAATTCTAGTTTAAGTTAAAGAAAGAAAACTGTGTCTGAATGATGGATATACAATAGATGTGCAAATTACCCATACATACAGTTGTAGCATATAGATGTTTGTACCTTTGAATAATTATGACAACAGTGGAAGCATTCATTGGCAAAACTTTTACAGAATTTAATTTATATGACTTGTCAAGTCAAGTGGTTTGATTTCCATGTAATGAAGTGGGAAAAGAAAGTTTATTTGACACTGGAGTTATAGGTCAATATGACACAGTGTGAAATAGATTGTTTAAACATAGACAAAGGAATTGCAGGGAATGACGCTCACAGAGGTATTCTTAAACTAACTGATTCTTCGTACATTCATTGAATTTAAAACTATAAGCATTTTAATACATTTTCTCAAGCTCAATGGGGCTATTTATTACTTGAATTACTTTAGAAAATAATTTTCACTTGTGCTCTCTATGAGAAACAAATTAACCCTAATTAAATTGGTTTGTAACCAACCATAACCATAACAAAAACTGGAAATCTAATCATTTTACCTAATAGGCTTTTGGCGTCAACTGTTCACTGGCAGCACAGAGTTTAAAACATGTTGCTCTAATGTGATCTGATCTGGTGAAGTTAGGCACATTCTGAAATGAATAAAAAATAAAGCATTTTGTGGAGGCACAGCTTGTGGTGGAATATTGATTTATTATTTAGCCATATTTATTCAATGGTGTTGCTGAACACTTGCTCAATTGTATAAAAATGTTGTCTGGCTCAAGTTTTATCAATGCTCTAAATTCATTCGGGGCACTGAGCCAACCTGTTTTAACCATGGTGAAACAGTTACAAACCTACGATTAACAAACAAGCCGCTAACTTGTTTTTCATAGACTGCTAATTCATGACCTCAAAAACATTTGATAAGTTAAGTTGTCCTTCATTGATCCCCATATGGTAATTCAATTAAAAACTTTTTAAATTCTTTTTAATCTTTGCATTGGACCCATGTAGTACTACGAGCAGTGGGCAGCCTTGGGTCCAACTCCATATTGGAGTTTGTTACAAGTTTTTGATGGTGGAGGGAAAGCACCTAGAGAAACAGCCAGGATTCAAATCTAGGACCTTCTTGCCGTGAGGTGACACAGACATGGACGCTCTACTTGTACATTTTTGGCATGTTTTGGTTGTGGGATAATCCACAATGAGGTGTGCATTAAAGGAGGAGCATACACCTTATCATGGTAGCCTTATACAGTTTTATAAACTTAAAAAACTACTTTAAACCACATTAAACTGTGGACACTGTTTGCAATGAATACACACATCCTGAGAGCAAGCAAGTGGGACCAAACAATGCCAAAAAAAAGAAAAGATCCCATCACTTTCACATCCAGACACACATACCAACATGCTTATGTTATTCCTCTGTCGCTCATCTTGACATCATCAGGAGCTGGTTGAAATGTTCTACCACCAGAGTTGTTTGAGGACAGGCAGACCAATAAACTGAGACTGAAGACACATACAGTGACAGTATTGGAAGGAATGTGTAAATTCTTACTCACTGCTTAATTGTGTGACCTCACCTCACAGGTGAAAGTCTGCATGAAAGGCATGTTGGGCTGTCGACATCCAAGTATGTGACCTTTATCTGCGCTTTCTCTGACAGGAAGTGAAAAATTTGCAGCACTCAAGGCTTATATGGATAAGCATAAGATACTGATTCACCTTGCACATAAAATATAGGTACTTTATTTTCATTTTATCATATAGGCATTTAGTCTATGTGAATTGCACATAGTAATATGAAGACTATACCAGAAGGTCACAGGTTCACAAAGTGATGCAATATATTATTGCAATATATTTATCAAAAGGTCCATTTCCTCTTTAGACACACGTCAGTCTATAAATCTTCTGTGTAAGAGAGTGCTGGACCCCCGAACTGGGAGGGCCCCGATCGGTGGTTAGAACCCAAAAACTGCTTTGAGAACATAATGGATTTTGATTGTTTGAGCCTGTCATGAATTAACCAGTTTCTGTAACCAACCCTGGGCAACGCCTAGAAATTCTTTTAAATGTGTATCAATTAGCTGCTGAACTTCATCCACTGGAATGTTTTGTTATAGCTGCCTGGGGCAACATGGTGAAAACTCCCAGACTGGTCTTAACCTGAAACTGTTTTCACTCATTGACATTTTTTTCACTTTGTTACAGTAAAACTAACATTGGCACAATTGATCATATTATAAAATATAGTATTTTTCATGGTATTGGGTTTCTCCAGAATTGCTTACCCTACCGTTAAGTAATATGTGAAAACAGTGTATATACAGGAATCCTGAAGTTTAATTTAGTACATTTTATGACTATTTTTAAGACTCTTTCCATACATTTTAAGACCTCTTCACCGCTTAGAGTTGTGACTGGTTACGTCAGTGATACACTTTAATCTATATAGCAACAACAACTAAGCAGTCTTAGCTTGTAATGGGATCACATGTCTCAGTTAGTTCAATAGATGGGCCTCAGCCATTGTTCAGATTCCTTTCACCATTATCTAGATAATTTAACACACAGGCCTTCACGTAACTTTATCAAGCAGCAGCAGTCAGTCAGTCAGTGGGTCAGTGAAAGGTTGTCCTTTTCAGATGACGTCAAATCTAGCAGGATTCCATAAATGAACTACACAGAATCAAACTACGGGCCCATGCAACTATTAAATTCATGCAACCTCTTTGGACAGATAGACATACTGAAATGAAGCTACAAACGTGTAATCTAAATCTAAAAATCAAAATTTAATCCCAACAAAATGCTCCACTGTAAACTTATCTACAAGTTAACAAGAATGTGTGCTTCGGTATAAAGCTGTTAATATGCTCAAAGGCCTTAAGCAAATTTGACAATATTTGAATATCAATATTCTGTTTTAGCTTAACCACGAACACCAATGTCATTCTCTCCTTCAGCAACATCAAAGCATAATGTTGGGCCTTTTCTTTTTATGCATTACTATTTTCTCTTGAGGTCCATCCCTTTCCTAATCTCAGAATGAAAGCCCTGTGCCTACCAGAATGATTTACAAGTTAAATTGTGGAAGAAGACAGAAATGAAAAAGTTTGATTTCAACATGACCATTACACATATTTAATGAAAAAAATTAAATTCTTATTTTGGTTAATGCACTTTCAGCCTTCCTTTATCTGAAACTGGTTAAATAATGTAAATTGAAAAAGCTTTCCATTTTTGTGTTCTTCATTTTCCCGAGAGACTTTGGGCTGTACTGTATGTAAAAATGTCTGTATGTTTCACTTTATTCTTTATCACGAACTGTACATGCTGCGAAACAGTAAATAAAACGTTTGGTGTTTCCAGAAAGAGGCTCTGCCTACCTTCCTCCAACAGTTCTTTAGGGGCAGGACAAAAACACAGGAGCTTCATTTCATTGGCTAAACTCCACCCATATGTAAATGTAGTTTTGCAGAAGGTTCAGCCTCACTTCTAAACCCCACACATAAGCTCCAGAGAGAGACACTGTAGAGCCACGATCCACTCTTTCTTCTTTCTTCCTGATGGAACACATGCTTATTTGCAGTCTGTAAGTATATTTTGAATTAAAAAAATACACCTTTTGTGTTTTAGGAGCTGTTTGCAGTCATGTAGACAGCTCATTTTTGGACTGATGTTTAATTTTAAGTTTCATTTATTCATTAAATCTGATTTCTATTTTAAGATTTCTCTGAATTTGCTGCAGCCCTCTGACAAAGAGAACAGACTTACAGTGTAACAACGACAGTCGGAAGATGAATTGTACAAGGTAAGCTATACTGTCACTGAACTCCTTTTACTGCAGTGACGCTGTGCTATTGGTAATCACATTACCTGCCGTCAAAGCAGAATTATGCTAAAACAGAAATATGTGCAACCATGCCTTGTAACGATAGATCTCATTTTAACCCCATGATGTCTTCCTTCCCAGAGTTCTCCATGCCTTTGGTAGTCACCCCCAGCCAGCTGTGATGCCAGTCGACCTAGCCATGTGTCTGAGCCTGAGCCGGCGCCAACCTCTTTATCAGCTGCTGTCCATGTCTCCCCTGAAACCCACGCAGACCCATTGTCAGTCGACCGACTGTCAGCCAAGGACCAGCCTTCGCTCTCCCTATCACTCCAGCTTTTCCCCTTACCCTTCATCCTCACCGCAGCCCTCTGGGCCTCGGAGCTGTTTCCGCAGGGACAGCGGAGGTCTGAGCAAGAAGCGTGTGGTTTTCGCAGACGCTAAGGGATTGGCTCTCACTGCTGTGCGTCTCTTTATCCCTGAGCCTTCGTCTCCTGCTTCTACTTTAATGATGAAACCCTCCCCAGCCAAACTGCAAGGCCAACAGTCGACCTCAAACAAACAGCAGCCGTGCAGGTTGAGGCTTGGTTTCCCTCAGCCAATGCTTGACTTAAAAGCATCCCTTGCACGCCTGCGAGAGATGCGTGTACAGCTGGAAAGCTGCAGCATTTCAGAGCACTCCTTGAGCGGCAAAGTGCACGTCTCCCATGTCAGTACTGAAAAGGCTGTGCACATAAGGGTGACCTTTGACTCTTGGCGGAGCCATCATGACATTCCCTGCACATTCCTGCAGCAGCAGCGCTGTGGAGGATCTGATATGGATGTTTTTGCCTTTGACTTAAGCTTACCAAAGAACATAGATCCAAAGGAGCGAGTTGAGTTCTGTGTGTACTTCAGACCTGCACCTGGCGCAATGCCACACAAGGACGACAACAGGGGGCAGAATTACAGGGTGTGCATGGAAAAAGATGGATCAAATGCTAACCAAGGCGATGCCAACCGTTCGTACCCCACACTGTCACAATATCGGCCAACATCCTGGCCTTCACATGTGTCCCTCGGTGTGCAGAACTCTGCTGAGCTTCAGTATCTTCAGAAGAGTTTATCAAGTAGAGTCAGGGCTGAATGCAAAACTCTGTGTTCAACTAAGTAAGACCAGTGAATGTAGGCCATAACTTCTCAACAGAGCTATGGGACTGTGTAAATAATGTGACTATTTTATTAACTAATATTTATTGCTGCTTTTTGGGATGTATAGACTCTGAAAACTGCCCTGTTGAAATGTGAATAACACATACTGCATTGTTCTGATTAAATCCTTTTTTTAAAAAAAAACAACCTTTTGTTTCTCTTAGTTAAATCACTGGATACATGCACATTTACAAATGAAGCTTAGAGTTTACACTGCACTATAATGGGTATTTGTGCATCGTAGCATGGCACATAAGCCCTGATTAAGAAACCTAGGCCCACGAGGGAAAGTGAAAACATGAGACCTGTATTTGTCTGAGAGTAAACACATGCATCAATACACACAAAAGATTATTTTATTCGAAGAATCTTTTGATCTCAGAGATACAAACCTGTTTTCTCCGAACACAGTGAATGAACAAATGGTTGACCTATGCTCATGATGTTCTTTCACACAGACATTATTTATCTTGGCAAGGGCTCAGATGTCTGGTGTGCCTTTTCATGTGGTACGTCATGCATACCAGACAGAAGAAGTCAACAGTGAAAGGTCTTCTGGGCACACATGGTTTGCAAGGGATAGCCTGTTCCAGACACTCCCCCACCTGCTGTGAAAAGTGGAACAACACGCTGGGAATTGTTACTTCTTGTACTGTACGTGATTGGTATGGCAAACAGCAAGTAACCATGGCAGCATCAGGGCCAGCATGTACTTTGGATAATGCGTGGGCCTGTGTATACATGCAAGGGTGGAGTCATCATTAGATACTGTGGCAGTCACAGTGAGACTGTCTCTGCCTCTTCTTCTCTTGTTCCACTCCTTCTTAGTCATTTTTCTGTTAGACTTGTTTCTTTCTTTTTTCCCAGGCTAGTATCCTCCCAGTGATATAATCTTGTATGTGGCATGGGAGCATTTCGCAAAGGTGTAGCAGGTTTACACACCTTGTACCCAAAAGCATTTATTTATTCATGAGACTCAACAGTGTTGGTAGGGTATCAGGTGTTAGATTGCCCCACTCTTAACATCCAATGAATGATAAGCGTAAACAGAACCATGGAACAAGACACATTATCACAACTATGGTGCACTGATTTATGCCTTTTTCATCTACTATGAAGTTTCCAAAATGGTGATGTAGAAAAGGTATGTAGTTCAGGAGGAGCTGCAACCAAAGCTAAAATCAGTGGTTTACCAAAGGAGCTAAAGTACAAAGCCGTTTGGCAGCAATACACAGAAACCAAACCAAGAGAAAGAGGACACCCACATGAGGTGAAGGAAGTGGGGCTAGATAGGACACATCCTACGAACGCCCAAAACCACAACCTGTGCAAAGTAAGAGAAAGGGTTTACATCAAATAAAAGGCCTGTCAGAGTCAGTTAAACTGTGTCTATTTAGGATAGTCAACATGTAAGAGGAGACCTGAGAACGAGTTACATAATACATCACAAAAAGACAGTTCAGTCACACAAAGCAGTCATTACACAATATAGTAGTAATATGGGCATCCTGATAGCCGTTATTAAGGCGCAAACAACATTCCTGCCAGGGACCAGTGTTGTAAGTCATAGCCCTCTCTCTCTTTTTCTTTGTTTTGTGCCTAGTTATATATATATATATATATATATATATATATATATATATATTCTACCAAAAAAAAAATTCAGTAGGTAAATAATCAACGTCCCTCAGAGGAATGAGTGCGTCAAACTTCAGTTTCCCATTTCATAGTGGTACAATAAGTGCGACTGCTTTCTTGGATATTAAATTAGTTGGCACTATAAATAATAACAAAATTATTACGGTATTTATTATTTGAAACTCCACTGGCTGATGACTGCTAACAGGGGTGGCAGATTGGAATATGCTCATATGGCTTGTTTAGCAAGGCACTGACACACAAGCTTTTTTCTCTTTTTTTTGTGGAGGCTTGTTGGACTACTTGCATCTTATAATGTGCTACATAGTGATATTATACTAATCTTTTAATCTTCCACTGTTGGCATTAAAGTTATGTACACCAATGTGGACATGGCTTCATACTCCTGGTCAGGGAGGCAGAAGCAGGGGCACTAGCCACTTTTACCAGCTGAAAATAATTACAAGGATATGCACACAAGGTTAGATAAAAGCTTTTCAGTGGTCAGCATACATACATTTTGTTCTTTGCATTTGTCATTTCTCCCATTTTATCTTTGAGCCAGCAGCAGCCACAGCTGGCTGATGGCAAGCAGCCAGCTACCAGCTGCTGGTGCTTACAGTGCTGATGCTCAGTGTTGTTTGAACAATGGCCTGAAGACTGATCCAGTGGGCTGCAGCCACAGCTGTGATCACAATGAGCGAGCTGCTGGGAGCTAACAGTGGTGGCTAGCTGAAGCCAAGACACTAGGCAGCGGTGACCACATTTGTTTTATTCTGGTGCCAAATAGCTTCAAAACCAACCAAAATGTCGCTTGCAACCATCTGGTGTCCCAAGAGCTGTGTGCAACAACTGAAAAGGGGAAGAAATTAGAGAAATAACTCTACAACAGCAATTGCAAAGAGACAGTTAGTTACCCAACACTGTGTTGTGGCTAGCTAATATTGTATTTGTACATTTGCCAGGCAGGAAGACAAGCCTAGTAAGTGTCAGAGGGGATGACTTCTGAGTCAGTGTTCCATCAAATTAGCTTTTAGATAATGGGTCTATATATTTTAAAGTAATGTGTGGTCTACCCGTTCAGTTTTTTTCCAATAGCAAATTAATTAAAAGTAAACCACTTGCAATAATGTTTCAAAGTATGAAAATATGCATTCCAAAAGAGATAAAAATGCTTCTATACAGAGTATAGACATGTATGTGCAAATAAATTATAATAAAAGTGATATATTATCTATCTATTTATCGACAAACTAAGAAAACAAGCTGTTTATGAAATGACACCATGTTTGGTCCACATTCAGGAAATGTGAAAGGTGGGGATTAACAAAGTGCCTTCACAACTGACTGAGTTAGTAAAAAAAACAACTTAAAACTCAAAAAAAACATTTAAAACACTATAAAATACTCATTCATAGGCATTAGAACAAAACAGAAGTGAAATAAAAATCCAACAAACTTTGCTTTCTATTTCTTTTATTTCAAATGCTATTCTATTATCTGATTAAGTGAAAGTATTACATATATGTATGTACATAGACACTGTAGATTACATTTACAGATTAGAAAAGAAAAAGGTGCACCACAGTGCTCTCTACGGTAACTTGAGTAAGATCATACTCTTAAATAAATTAGTAAACGAGTTAGAATTGATTTCGAGTTAAAATAAGAGATGCATATCTAATTGTGTTTATTGTCAGGTGAACTTTTACAATTACGAGCACAAGAGTAATTCAGCACATGGAGGGTATGACAATTGCTTATAGGTCACCAAAATCACAATGTGCCACCATACACGACACTGGCAAAGGGATACGGCCTTCGTAAGTATTTTGAATAATCCATGGATCCGAAGCAAATTGTTTCTGTCACTTCTACAAAAATGGATGTTTGAAACAGTCGTTGGTTCTCTACTGACATTGGTCGCTGGGCAGGTGCTCGTGCTCGGGGTTCCAAGGTGATCTGGCAAAACACTCGGCGGCCTTCCTGTCACACTCACAGATGAACATCTCACATTCGTTGTTTGAGCCTGAAGAAGAGAAAGGGGAGAGCACTCTGATTACCAAAAGACCAAAAACCATTGCCATATTTTAACCAAACAGTATCAATTTATTGGAACAGTGGCAGTTTTTCTCATCAATCAGAATTTACATATTCTTGAATGAATACAATTTTTAAAAAACTGCATATTACTGCAGGTTTAATGAGCAAATTAACATGTTTATAAGATCAAGTTGTCTCTATGTACTCACTGCCACATGTGACCTTCTTGTTGTTCTCGTCGCAGTTGTAGTCGTAGAACTCGGTGTAAGGATTGTCGATGATGGGCCAGCACTCAGGGTGTTGCATAGCATCATTATAGCACTGGTCATGGACGTAGCAGCAACTACAGGTTAAAAAGTCGAACAAGAACATTTTTGAAACAAACTGGACAAGTTTTTTTTTTTTTTTTTGTTATGTAATCTAAGTATGAAGCAGAGTGAATGGATTGCGACCTGTCCAGTTCATCCACAGGTGTGCCAGAGCCTCCTTTCCCACAGTAACAGCCGTAGTCAGCGTAGTCAAAAACAGGCCAGCTATCAGGCATCACACACAGGATCATTTTTCTAAACTGGTTGAGTGCCTTGTAGTCCAAGGACTGGGCTGAAAAGCAACAACACAATCAGGATGATGTTTATGCTACTGCCAGCAGATGTATCTATTCACAACCACCATGAGTACAGGCTTTACTCAAGTTGTACTCACCAACCGAGAGGCTTGCAGCCAAGAGACACAGAGCCTGGAGGGTATTCATCCTGTAAGTCAAAAGACAAGTCACAGAGGAGCACTAACTCTAACATCAGGCCCTCTTTATATATCAAGTATGGGACCTTGGGACCTGCCGGCAGCTGTTCATACTAAACAGGGTCACACGCCTCATAATGCACACTCTCTGTACACGTTTCTGAACCCTGAGAATGGTTGTTAAGTTTGTTTGATGTTCTGTATAGACTCTAGTTGCTCAGCCTTGGGTTACGGATGCACGTTTGTGAGGCTGTCAAAGCAGCATATTATCGCATGTGGTTTGAGATGTTCAATAATCTCACAATAGGTGTAATGTTTACATGCCCATGTCTTTTATTTTACTAGTTACTGGTAAATGACAGTCTTTTGGAACATGTAACCCACGGTTGTCAATCCCTGTGTATGTTAATGTAGATCTAAATACGAATGCAGAATAAATGTTTTTCCAATAAGATATTTTCTGTAATTACAATAACTAATGTAGCAGATCAAGTAGCCTCGGTTGAGTGATTTTGTCTTTTGAAAACATAGATTTGTGCAATGGGTAATTTTACACCTGACAGCCGTAATTGCTTTGGTCACGGCATATAAATGTGCGCAACGGTCGGAAAAGGTTGAGAAACCCTGGTCAGTGTGTGACGCCATCATATCAATTCATGTCTTATTTTCCTTGTCATAAGTACTGCAATATAATGTATAATGGGGAAAATGATCATTGTCAAGCAGACAGCAATTTACAAAATACAGTTTTTTAATAGCTGTAATGCTGCATTTATAGAATCTGAAAATGTGTATAGTTACTGTTCCTGTAAGGTTAATCTTACAGTGTTATTTCAAATAAACTTTCTGTAAATTTTTTCTTTTGCAAAATTGTGCAACACTTTCATGTCAAATAAAGACAACACATGACCAAGCAAGACATGTCCCACCATATGTATAGAGACATGGAAAATCCCAGACTATAAGTGCAATGTTGATGATATAAGGAGCCCTCACATGCTGGGAGCAAAGTGTTCAAAGGCAGACATAATGTACAGTAGCTGTGGAAGAGAATGTGTCAGCATTTCCAGCACATATGTCAATTTATACCAGTGCTATTTCTGTTTTTATTTAGGCTCCAACCATGGGACTTTTAGGTTGGGATTGTATTTATTATAGGTTAGTGAATATACTACTAAATAATACTTTAAACTTTACACGTATAAGATGTTAAAAAAGCAGCAAAATGTAAAAAAAATTAAAAATTTACATATATTTAACATTTTTGTTTGTATCTCTGGAGTATTCGAATGAGGCTGACAATACACAAATATATATTTACATTATAATTGTCATAAACACAAAAGTCAGTCAATTATTCTTATTGTTGACCTAAAGAGCTACAAGACAATAAAAAAAAAACAGAACTGCATATGAATTTGTAAATTAATCTTTAATACAAATTTCTTTCAAAATGGAAAATGGATTCACACATGGTTCAAAGGGTCAACAACATTTTATTGATACTGCAATTTATTTAAGGTTCTAACATTTTCACATCAATCCATCATTACCATGGTAGTTCGGACACTAACAGAAGTAACACAAACAAAGGAGACCTTCACTGAGGAGATTGTCAGCCTCTACTGGCCTAACATAGAACTAAAATAATGAACATCATGGTCTCATTTGTTAGTGGCAATCATACCACGATATTTGATGATAAATTGATGTAAAGTCATACCTTTAACTCAAAATCCGTTCTATTCAAACTTAATGAAATGCAGACAGACGATTAACAGTACAGGCCAACTATGAAAAAGAAATGTTCAGTAACAGTACTCAGTCACATGAGCCTATGCTCGTCCCTTCATCAGTGTTCAGAACAATCGGTGGTTCTTTCAGACAGTGTTTGTCATATGACTGTCTTTTACCTACTGTATGTTTAATTGTCAAATATCTTCATGTATACATGTTTTCTCCTCAACCATGAATTCATCTCAAACGTCACTTAACAGAAACTGGTGGCACGTGTCCACAGGGGAGATTTTGGACGCGAGGGGTCGCTCCGCTTCCCAGCATTGGGCGCTGCTGGCTGCATCTGATTGGACAAACGCTTTCTGCTCCGGGATTTCCAAATGGACCAACATGGCAGCTCGTTTGGAAACGTTCTCTTATTTTACGGAAATAGTTCACCGAAATGTGTTCCTGAAGACATTTTAAGTGAGAAATATGCCATGCAGTTCCTGAATCTGTCTTCATTTTACATAGACAACATTACAAATAGTTTCAAAGTTTTTTATGAGTTTCCAGATGTGGCAAGTTGCGTTGCAGGACGGCCCTGATGTGCATGAAGTAGCAGAGACCTATACCTTATGCAAATGAGGGGCAGAAAACATGGCATCCTGTCCCTCAAAAAGCGCTGCAGCGCTACCAGAATGCATTGCACGGCTGCTCACATAGAATGTGAATGGACAGTTTGGAAAAGACTGATCCTGTGGACACGTGCCTTAACAATGCTACTAAACAATTAACAATTTACCTGGTGGGACTCTTATTTTTGGAATGTGTTTACACTGTATGAAAGAAGGGAAATCATGTTACTTGTGTAGTGGTAAATCAGTGTGAAGACTGCTAAACCTGCTCAGACGCTCAAAAGGATGATAAGCATTATTCTTCCGATATACTGTTGTGCTGTAAGTGTACATACACTGTATGCATTACCTACTTCAAAAATAAATGTTTATCATCATAGTGCAAAACTAATAAAGTCATTCTTAAATTCATTTCTAAAAAAATTAAAACTGGTTATGGTTTTGGTCTTAACTTGTCTACATCTTGACTGGAATGGTCTGGACCACAACACTGGAACTAACTACAGAGGGAGAACAAAACAAACCACATCATCAACCAAAGTAGAAAAAAAAATACATCACTGAATACTTAGAAAATATCTGCTGTGCGCTGTGTGATTATCATTAAATAAACAGGCAAAAAAAAAACAGTGGAGAACTACTGCAGTGCATTTTTTCTTTCTTTGACCTTAACATTCACATTCTTGATTGTACATCTGTCGTCTTTCCCTCCTGGGAAACACCACAGCAACCTCATATATCTGAGGACTTTCAGTCAGATCTTCCCAGCATTACCAATCATCCTCATTACATTTACATCTGTTGTGATCACAGACATATTGTCCTACCTCGTAATTACCGCCACTCTATGTCTACTAAGCAAAGATAGTGCTGCTGCAAACTACAGAGGGCAATCCGTGAACAAATAAAGGCAGATTATGTAGGATTGGAGCGACTGAGTGGCGTTTATGATCCTAAACAGATGTGTACAATAGCTGGATATACAGTGAGTGTACAAGATATAATCTCAGAGCTGTTAACCTCTGATTAGCTTTAGGTTAATCTGGGATCATTCAGGCGACCGCTGGCCTTTCTCAAATTTGGGTAAAGGATACAAGTGGTCGCACATTGACATTCCGGGCCATGTTTTTTTTTAAATGTCTGAGCAATATAGCCTGGATTCACCTGCTCGCTCTCTCTCTCTCTGTTATGGAAAGAACAGATGGAGCTAATATGTTGTATACTCAGTGTACAGTTGACACACTCGGACAGGATTAAAAAGTCAGTCTTCAATCAGATGGGCTTATATAGTAAGGTGGTGACATACTTCTTCTTATAGCGATGTGTCGCACTGAGCACCATCACGCCATCCTGTAAAGGAGAAAGAAAACATGGAGGAAAAATGTACTTCAAATACACTGTAAACAATGAAATGCGTGCTTACAGCTTAGATACAAGTGGGCCAATGGGAGCAACACTATCAGTAATACAGTAAGTACTATTTGCAGTGCCACTATACTGTTAACCACAGAGATTAGTGGGAGGACCACCCACTAATCTTGACAACCCGCTCTGCTCACTAATCCCTGTCAACAATGAGGCAATATAATGTCTACCACTCCTATATCCCTGTTCTTAATTTCATAGAGAGAGACTATTCTGTAGCTATCAAGCTGCAATACAGTCTACTGCTGTTAGGACCAATGTGTAGGATTTAGTGGCATCTAGTGGTGTAGCTGCAGATTGCAACTCACTTTCTTCACCCGCACTTTCCAACAAGAGGGACTACGGTGCAGTATGAACAGAAGGAATAATTACAGAAACTAAAAACTGTTTCAGTGTATGTACGGACAGGTTAGTGTTGTGAACCTTTCTTTTAAAAGGTCTTTCACCAGTGAGTCACAGGAGGGCTTATATTGTGAAGCAGCTGCAGAAGGTGCAGCCTTATTGATGGGGGTCACCAACCCATTGTTAGTTAAAATGATCTCCTGTAAATGATGGGACATTTTTCCTTTTAGCATGTTGTTCTTGTTAGATGGGAAAAGCTCTGATTCCACTTGCACGCAGTATAGGTGAGGTATCCCCACTCCCCAAAGTCCCATAGTTCTTCTTGTAGTGCCCTGTTTATTCTAATATTTTGCAGGAAAAAATGTGGCTTTCTATTAAGCTTATTTCAGTCTAATAGCTATAAAATGATCCAATAAGCATGCCATTTAGCTGCAGTTGTAAGCCATAACAAAGGGAGTCAGCAGTCAGCATGATTTGGGAATTTTCAGCATCTTGAAAATAACACAAGAATGGTCTCGTTTATTTTTTGGTTTATATAGGTACACTGCAGCATTTTATCTGCTCCTGTATAATTGTTTTTTGTTACAGCTTCAAAGCTCCTGATGGCTGAGTTGCTTGCCAGAGAAAGATACATACAAAAAACAAAAACAAACCTTACAAACTAAGCCTACTAAGTCAAGAACTACTACTACTGCTGTCAAGTGAAATGGAAAATACCGTGTGTGGTTTAGACTCTTGCTTGTGTGTTGTATTTTTTTCCCCTAATTTCTGACACAGCTGATAGTATTTATAGCTCGGCATGCACATTTAGTTTGTTTTTCCTGCCACAATGTGGGAAAAGGGGCAATTATCTGTCCTTCAGCTCGCCTATTAGCAGCTTGTTATCATTGTTGGCACTCCATAGATACGATCTGCTGCGCAAGCTACATGCAAGCTCGCTATCAGCTGCAGCAGCTCACAGTTTCTATTAAAAATGCTAACAAAGCTGGTCATTTATCAAGTGTCGCCACGGAAAGTTTTCCCACATTCCAGCAGCCACATGGCGCTGAATAATAGCAAAACAAAAATATGTTTTGCGTGTGAGTCAGTCAACTTCAGACCTTACCTTAATGGAGAGAGCATAGAGGTGGTTGAGCATGACATGGTTGGGTTCTGGGAGTAATGCAGGGTCACACTGGATATGAAAAAAAAAACATGTCTCATGTTTTCTACTTAATTCTGTAGATCCTTTGATACATAGAGATATTGTTTAATGCTTGACAAAGGTCTGCTTTTCAAAAAACCTAATATTAACCTCAAAATATTTGTAATACATTGTCTATATATTGCATATCATGTGACAGTTACAGCACAAAATAGAGAACAAGAAGTTCATTATTTCAGGAAAATAACTGAGCTACTTACAGAAATTCCAGTGTCTTTGTTGAGGATGACCTGTAGCAGGTGAGGTGGGAGTATGGGTGGAGACTTAATCTTTTCTTCTTGTTTAGGTACATAGGCATCCTGGTGATACGGCCCGGGAGGAGAGCTAGAGAGGTCTGATTGGGGAAAGGAGGAGAGGCAACAGAGAGAGTGGAACATCATTTTCAAACCTTGCCACAGACCTGTTTATAAATCAAAGCCCCCTTTTCACAAAAAAGGCACTGCGATACACATCACTGAATCTGGAGCACTCACCTGACATGTCAGAGCATTTCTGCGAGTCTACCATTAGAGCGTCGAACACCTCAAAGTCAGTTTTCTTCACCTGGATGACATTGTTGACTGTCCCAAGTTGACTGGTTATAACTGGCTGTGAGGAAACACGAGACAATCAAATTCACAACTTATACCAAAAGTATAAACCAGCCAGACACCGTATCATTTCTATTATTCATAACCACTGTCTAAGGCAAAGCAAATTACAGGTGAACAATAATTAAACTGTAATTGCTTGTAGGGCTGCACATTGATAATATGTACATATTGGCATCATCGCCAAATGCTATATCCAATTTGCAGGGGTGACAAAAGAGAATTATATTGAAGTACTGTAGTTCTGAAAAGGTGCCCTGGCCTACAAATCTTCTTCTCCAGATTTAAGAGAACATGTTTGTTTGGTACAGCCCCATAAAAATAATTTTAATAGGTAAAAATGTATTTGTGATGCAAAAGTGAGCAGTCCCACACTGATCGCACAATCACAATCGCATTATCTGTATCCCAATATGATGTTTTTACCATATTTTGCAGCCCTAATTGCTTGTTATATACATAGCATAATAGATATGGTCTAGATAATGGAGAATAACTGCTGACCTCAGCTGGGTCGTGGGTCCACTGGCCATCCACATAAAACTTATACTGATGCTCCCCTTCAGGTAGATCAACAATGGCCACAAAGGTGTTCTGACTTTGACAGATGACAAGAGAGAGCATTTGGCACAAAAGAGAGTTAACACAGTACTTCTCCATAGATCTTTAACCTCATCAATAATATGTATGCCCGCTAGTTCAAGTCATTCATTCGTCATTAAACTGGGCATAAAAACCATTCAGAGATATAGTGGAATTTTGGATATTAACTTAACTGTTTTATGAGTGTTGACTGTTGTTAGTTGAAATGGCAAATGGTTAACCTTTTCCTACAAAACAGCTAGTAATGAGTCTGGAATTATAATAGAAAAAAATTTGAGTTTAGGACGCCTGATCACCTTCTAATAAGGGGTATCTTGTTGGCCCAGTTGTTGAAGGAACCAGAGAGGTAGACTTCTTTTCCATCTCCAGTCCAGCGAAAGACCGTTGGTCGGTCTAAAGTCGGCCCTTTGTCATCTGCTTCCAAATCTTGCTGCCATGCAAGGAACTCCTCTTTCTCTAAAGGAGCCTAAAATACCAAACAAACAACAAGCATTAATTAAGATAAGATGTTCCTTTATTGATCCCCTGTGGGAGAAATTCAAGTTTGACACAGCAGCACAAGGGAGTAGTGCAAAAAGTAGATAAGTGTAAAAATCCAATAAAGAATAATAAAATAAAATGATAAAGATATAATAGAAAATAAATAACTATAATGAAAATATATACACTATACGCAGTATGCAAGAAAGGAACATGGAGTGCAAAAAAAATTTTAAACAGTGCATAACTAACTGATTTATAATTTATCAGACATATAAAAAGTCTTGGGGCAGAACCATGCTGGCAACAGATAAACTATCTGTGATAGCAGCACAACTTACTTTCATGTCTTCACCGTGAAAAATATCTGCATCCTCGGGGCTGTCCATCAGAATTTTTGGCCTCTCTCCCTCCTTGGTACCCCGGCTGTCCCTCCGCTGAGCCTTCTCCCCCTGGCCCATGGCAGCCCTCTCGCTGCTTGTATTCCCCATGGCTTTGTCTTCTTGTGGGCTGGTGCAAGGTCACTGTGAGCAGGAGTTTTACAGCTAAGCAGCAACTCAGAGAACAATGCACAATATCTGACATTTCTTTTTTAAATAAGGTAATTAATCATTAATAGCAGCTACTGGAGCACTGGCAACAAAAGTTGCTTTTTAAGACCGCATGACTCAAATGAGAAAGATAAAAAATGTTACACCTTGAGGGCTATCTATGATGATTTACAATGAGGGCACTGGCAGGAATAAGTTAACTGAAATGGTGGCAAATCACAAGCAGCCGTGGGTCAGACTCACAACCACGTAGAGGGACTTGGCAGGCTTATACTCCACATCTGACAGCTGAATTTACCAGGTCTTTGCACAATACGGCTTTAAGAACAAAACATACTGTATGATCATAAAACAATCTCTGCAGCTGCAGGAACTGAATAGAATTGGACGAGCATTTGTCGATGCACCACCCGCCAGGCGCCCGTATTGTTCTACTTTAAGCATTTTGTTATACTAGGCTCAGAATTATCCTTGCATAGCATTTCTTTCAGCATGATATCTACTCTCATTAAAGGACCTGTGTTTTGTTTGATACCCTATTCACTACATATCACATACATTACTACTAACCACTGTCAAAATATATCACTGTTAGTTCTGAACAGTTTCCCTACCTTTATTTAGCTACTGCATGAAACAATCAAGATGTATATTGGCTTCCATCTCTTGTTTTTGGCTCATGTTTTTTTATATACAAGTTACTTCTGCATGATATCACTACTTCAGTGCATAAGTAAGCAAGGGTAACATAACCTTGACAGAATTAAATGCAGATATGGCATTTACAGTAATGGATTACCTATTTCCAGGATGTTTCAAATCAGTGCAAATTGAGTTTCATATGAAATGAAACCAACTACCAGAGCTGACCTTGAAAAGTTGTTTAAAACTGGGAAAAGACTTAATTAAAAGCAACATCATTTCTTTCCCAGTTAGTGTGATTGGAACATTTTTGGTGATGCAGTACTGTTTTATAATAACAGTCATTAATACTAATACACAGTTTAAGGTTATGTGAGGGCTCGTGTTCAAACAGTTCAAATACTCGGTTTTCTGGTGTAATATACCAAAAATATTTACTTTCTTGTCAGTGTCTGATCAGATAACGATTTACTAAAAGCTCTTATTTTATATTAATGCCATTAAGAATAAAAGCAGTTTTTCCCGGGTATTTTTCCACTGTATGACAGTATGAAGCTGTTTCTAATAATAGACATGGTGTTCTGACAATGATCATATACAGATGTAATAATATGCAGCATAATGATCTCGCAATATGCCACGGTCGACTTCATGTCAACTTTACTAACGATAGGCGCAACGTTATGTTGACATTAGCCCCCCGCCCCCAGCCAAAGCTAACGCTCCGTTAGCTCATCTTACAAGCTGAAAGCACAAATATAAACTCAATTACTTGTGAGATTATCGCTTGATCTCGCCTTTATTGGCTGGGCTGCAGATAGTTTAGTTTTGGTCCATGCCTCAGGAGCAGTAAGAGGTAGCAGACGTTTTAGTTTACTAAAGCTAACGTTAGTTAGCAGCTCGCTAGCATCAGTGTGTTGATAGCCGGCTGGACGTCCTGTTAATCCAAACACTACTAACGTTACTTACGTTACTACCGGCTGCAACACAGAAGAGCTACCAGTTCAAACAATGCATGCTCTGACTATACATACACACAGTCGTGAAGCTTTTTACCTTAAACAATGTTTGCCGTCGTAGCTGCCAGCGTTAGCTCCTCAGACCCATTTCACCGGAGCAGAAAACAAAACATTTCGTCATGCTAAACAAACACGCCCCCTGCTTTGCGCATGCGCAATAGTTCAAACCTTTAAAAACTAGCATCCCTTAATTTAACTACTGAATGATCAGCCCCACATGCACATACCATCGTATAAACAGTTTATATCTGTGGCGATCTTTTAGCTGTATTATAATCATATTACAGTTTATATCCGTGGCAATCTTTTATCTTTATAATCATCACATCTTAAAGTTTTAAAGAGAGATGTAATTCTGTGTACTCAACACTAGATGGAAGCCTGAGTCAAGTAGCCTACAGTGGCAGTGACAGTATGTAAATACAGCTCCACTTGCATGTAAAGACCAGATAAACGGATGAGCATTCATTTCTAACACACATGAACAGAATATAGGCATATTTAAGATGATACTGATGAAGAGATTATAGTGACTGTGACAAATTAAATGAAAAACCTCAAGAAATGAGTGGTGAAACATAACCAATGCAGATACTTCCACACAGCGGCACTGCATGGTGCAATTAAGAAATGATTTAACATCCAATCATGCTCTGTGGCCTGTATAAAAATGATGAGCAACCCCAGTTGCTTCTGAGTTTATCTGAACGATGTTATAGTCGGCTGGCAGTGCATCAACCCCTCATTACAAAGATGAATCCACATTTGAGAGTTCAGCGGTGCAAAAACCATAGGTCTACAGAGATGAGAAAAAAGCAACATGGTTGGATGACTAATCCTTCGCCATTTTCTCGACAAGTGGGCAAGTGCATGTGCACAGGCCTGAATGCTTCACCCCCACAGCGAGGGGATCCATGGCTGTGTTGTGCTGTGGGGGGCATTTTGCTGGCACGATTTGGGTCTACTTGTCAGCTGATGAGTATGAAAATGATATGCAATGGCCTTCTCAGTCACCAGTTCTCAACCCAATTTAACATCTAGGCGAGGGGATTTTTCTATAATTTGTCACTCCTGTGTATATTGTAGACTGTAAATATATTTGGATCTGTTGTTCTTAATGTCATGCCACTGATTAATGATTTCTGGTTGGTAACAGTATCAGCAAAATTTAGGCTACTGATAGAAAACAACAGCTTTGTGCCATTCTTGACATTTACCATGAGCTTTCTTTCAGCATTGCAGCATGTGCTGTCAGTGAGAGCAACTTGCCACTCACACAAAAGGTCTTTAGGTGGCCTTTGATCTATGAAGGTCCAGCAGTAACAATGCCTTTATAAGGTTACCCTCAAAACTTTGTTTACTGTGAGTTCTGTAATGCCTCAAATGTCACACTCATTATAGATGAAATGATGCAGAAAATCACTAATCGTTATGTCAGGCAGCCCAGTCTGACCCTAGGACAGTGCCAGCATACAGCTGCTGTGGTCACATTTTCCCTGAGCAATGCTGATGTGCCAGGGCTATTGTCAATAGATGAAGCAGATATTTTGACTTGTCATGGCAGGAAAAGTGCAGGTGTAATTAATAACATTATTGATATTCCAAACAAATCCATACAAGTGAGCCAGAATGCATAATACACGGGCTCTGTAAGTGCGCACCCAATGGAGTGTATGTTAGTTACACCTGTGCTGTACCAGTTCAAAATGTCTCTTTGTCAGTGCTCTTGTTATGTATTTTCCAGTTGTTTGGATTTATTTAAAACTGTTACTTATGCAATACAAGCTGAACAAGCTGCTCTGATGACGGGGTCATGACAAGGGTACATTTTCTTCAGTTAGAGACTTTGGTTTTTTCACCTCATCGGATACAGTTCACTTTCCTTTGTTGCAGTATTTTCTGTAACTACAGTCATGTTGAGCTGCAACAAAAGCTGAAAAAGTATCTATTCATGTTTGTTTCGTCCCCTCACCACCATTCCCTAACTACACCAATTCTCTTTTCCTCTAACTTCGACGCAGATTTAATAGAGCTAATGACCCCCAAACAGCTCTCCAACATCCTCCAGACACAGGGGGGCAGCGAACGCTGGAGGCGCTTGGCACATAACGAGGAGCTAAATAAAAATGTGTCCAACAGAGATGTGTGACCTGAAAGGAGGTTAGCTTTCACTGGACCATTTAAAAACAGGAGAATCTACATTTCACAAGGCCCTATTATCTAGAATGTCACAGCAGACACATCCCCAAATTATGGTCATGGTCACAGTTGATTGCAGTACACAGATGTCGGTCCACACCGCGTGTTCAATTAAAGAAATTAAATGTTTCCCTTCACAGCCTTTATGTCTTGTAATAAACAGCGTATATAGTTAGTTTCTCCTCAGAGGGCTTCTTATTTGGGGGAAAATATCACTGAGCAATGTGAAAACAGTGAGGTTATGCGTGATGCAACCATTTTAATGTGCATGTTTTATGTGCAGATCAAAGTGCGTGCCATACAACTTTTTTTTACCAGAACAGCTTTGATATTTCATCAAATTCAAGTTTTAAAAATCCAAGAGCCGGGCATGTTAGACGATTGTCCTGAAACCAGAAGGCTGTAATTGGCTCACGTCAGCTTAAGAGACAGAGTGGGCTCCGAGGAAGAAGCTGGCCCGACTGTTGGAGGTGGGATGTGATGTTTTTTCGCTTGCATGTGGAGGTGGATTTAAAAATGGATGGGAGAGATGGAGTTGGATGGTATGTTGTTAGTTTTGATGTGTTGAAAATGTTGATGTGTCAGTTGGCAATGGTAGAATAGTGACTGAAGTGGGCGTGGGTAAACCCTGATACTGGATCAATTTTATGACTTTGAAAGCAGTCTTTTTCTCGTGCCAAAGAGTCTAAAGCCGAAGCCCAAACCGGGAGAGCTCTCGCTGTCTCATTAGAAATCCTGTATTGGCTCACAGACCTGCTGATGAACTCCGTGATGTGACTGATGTGCTGACATTTTACTGTGCCTCCACTCTGGCACCACTTCCCCAGAGCCGTGACCACAGTGCCACTGTTGTTTACCATTACTCATCCCTGCTGAGTGAAGCCATCACACAACAGCAGCCAGGCGCACCGCAGCACTTCGGCCAGCAGCTGGCCCTGATACGCTCTCTGTAGGACAAGCCAGATAACCTTTATACTGAGCTCCTCTGGATTACACATGGGGGGCGATGACTCACACTTGTTGCCTTGGCACTCTCACAGGCTCACATCTGTGCATGCAACGCACTTGTACTCTCGCACTTGGTCCTTTGTGAAACACCGAATGGAAACTTGTTTTATCAAACCAAAATAAAAATTTGAACAGTTTAGAGTAGAATCGTCTTCCTATGTTTGGGTTTATTCTGTATTTTTCTCATTGGAAACAAATCCCATGAAAACCAAAAACCAACAACGCTGGATGTTAGTTCATCTCTCCATGCTTTCTGACTTCCTCACTCTGCCTGTGACCCCAAGCTAATTGGTTCCTGCTGAAGACATAAAAAGCCGGTCACATTTAAAAAGTTTAAATTTTAAAAAAAAGCTCAGTATTCTTAAAATTTCTGGACACCATAGATTTTTATCATATCCTTAAACAGCACTTAATTTTGCTTGTGTTGTGGACTGCTTTAAGAGGTGCATTTTTACACATTCAGTGCTTTAATTAAACTATGTACATGGAATTGATTTAAGACTACAGCGTCCGTGTTCAATAGCCCACATCATCATTCGCAAATGCAAGTTATTCTGGGACTTCTCAGTTCACTTTTGGTTTCTAAGGGGCCTTATCTACGCTGGCGTGATCAACACTGTCAAATCAGCATTGGTGACGCTCCTCTGTCAATCATCGTGTGAAACCTACCCCCATATTAAACAATCCTTTTGTGATTGGCCTGACCAGATCCAGGACAGGTGGAAGCGTGGCACATGCACACTTAACTTTTTCATTTCTGTAAAGAAAACTTATTTTTAAAGTTTATTATTTAAGATCTAAACTTAAATAATAAACCTGCAATAGAGAAGTTAAAACAACCAAAGAGCTCATAGAACAATGGCCAAGTGTCAGGGAGAAGAAAACACAAAAAAAGAAGCATATTAAGGATGTATAATTATTATAAATATTTTAAAAAGTACATAATACAGAGAATTGTATAAAAAGTGATCAAAAATATCAATAAAACTCAACTCTCTTATTCTATATTCACAGGAAATAATTTGCTCAAAATGTATCCAAATCGCTTGGTTTACACCCTGTAGTTATTGCGTTCACTGTATTAGTTTCTCTATTGAGCATTCAATATAAAATGAAATGTCCATAAAGAATAAGTCACAGAATCAGTGGTCGTCAGTTTATTCAATGATAACCTTTAGGAAAGAGGTTGGGATCCACTGGTCTACGGCACAGGGGAATAAGCTAATACTTTGGCTACATGGACAGTATGTATTGGTAGAATCATTGTTGTTGGTTTTGATCTTTTAATGGGATTTGCTGACTATATGTAGAAATATTGCCAGCCCAGTCCTTTAACAGAAAGGCCTTCATTTAAATCCTGAAAACGTGGCATATATTTTACAGCAGGGATTTCAAAAATGTGTTTATTTTGTATAGTTCTTTCACACACCTTGCTTGAAAGCTTGATTGGTCAATTGGTCTTACATCTTGTCAAGATTTGCTACGGTCTACTAGAAGTTTAAATGGATTGGAACAACTCTCACAACTGAGTCATACACACCACTGCAGCTCAAATACATGTCTGTGCCAAACTTCAGTTGTACAAAATATAAGAGCTGTCTGCTGTCTTGATGAAATCAATATCCTCAGTAAATACAGGTTAAAACTGAAGAGTGTGTTGTGTCCAAGGTTAAATTCCTTTTTTTATTTATTTAAGAGGTACCTTTTAGATTCGACACCATATGTGCAAACCATTACAAATGGATTGCAGGGAGAGCAAGTGGGCTTAAAGGTGCAATGTAGAAAATGTTTTACAAAAATGGAAATTGATTCCAGAATATAATTTATTTCAGTAAATGTTTAAAATTGTCTCACCACACAGGCTGATTTGTTCATTTCTTTACATTGTACATTTTAATTTATTTATACATCCTACTTCAGCCTTTACCATTGTCAATTATGTTATAAAAA